AGCCAGCTGCAACTGAATTTCCGAATATGAGTTTGAATTTCTGATTGATTTGAAAGAAATTGAGTCTTTTCTTTGACTTGTGTCCATTTGAGAAGGATGTCTGTTTGGATTTGTTGCTTAATAGTGTCAGTGAAGTCTGGTCCATCCAGACCGGCCCCTTCCCACTCATAAGTGCATCTCCTCATCCAGATAGCCCACATAACAGCTCTTCGCCCTATACGGAACAAATTATATATAAAATCTTCCTGAATTTTCATTGGGTCTAGTACCGGATTCCATGTCTCTATAGAATAATTCTCCACCCCCATGGCCATGGAACTTGGGTGACTAATTGTGACCAGATACGGTCCCACCACCTCCATAGCCAAATGGAACCCGGGCATTGCATGAATATGTGTTCAATAGTTTCAGGAATTGTTCTACAAGGAAAAGCTGAGCTACAAAATTTGCACCACCTTGAGGCGATTCCTTTCTGCTTTAATGAGGATTTATCAATTTATCAGTCATTACTTGGAAGACATCTATGTTCAATCTGCCATTGAAGAAAAGCGATTTTGGCTGGTTTGTCTTTAACCGATTTGAACCACTTGACTGACCTCAACTCCTTACTAATGTTGAGATGTTTCATCCATCTGGAGGACACCCTATCTTTTAGAATAATTCTCGGACGCAGCATCCGATAAATTGGTTTGACTTTTTAATGAATGAATAGTCTTTTTATATGATCTACTATGCCTGCCTATTTTGATTTCAGAGCTCCATACCCAATTGGTGGGGTGTAGTGACAATTTCATAATAGGGGTGTCTGGTTTAAAGATTAGCCATAATTTTTTTCTTCTTCTGATTACTCTTATTATGAAAATCTGATGGGCTTAGCGCTAGCGCTTAGCGACCCGCGGCCAGCAAGGTTTGGCCGCCAGGACACGCACAGGTGCCAAGGGGATATTTCGTCCCCCCGGCCCTGGGCACCAACGGGCCCCGGTTGAGTTGACCGGTGTGGCAAGGCCACGTGGTCCACGTTGGGTGCACTGCCGCCGCGCGCTGCCATCGTTACTGCCAAGGAGGCATTCACCACTTCGCGGCTTAGGGTTCGTCAGAGGAGTGGAGAGGGATGGAGAAGGTTGACGAAGAAGGTTGCCGGATCGAGTTGGGAGCGGCGATTCCACGTGTCAACGATGTACGGGTTCATCCGATGGGAGTGACAGGGATGTATGGGTGAACACTTGATGATGCCTGCAAAGTGGGATAGTGCAGACAGAAAGGTTGGAGAGCTCGCTGTGGACGCCCGAGGATGAGCATCGACAAAGGTGAGGGGAGAGTTGGAATCGGGTCAGGAATGATGACGTGAGACCGTTGTTTTGCCTGTGACAGACTGACTTAGACCCCATACTGGACGGTGACATCCAAAGTCGGGGGATAGAGCGTACGGGCAAGCGACAAGCAAAGGAAGCACCCATGATGACAAGCCACTGAGGAAACTGGCGCGGCCCTACATGACTTCGAGGGAAGAAAGATGAGGAGTCGGGATAGCGGAGGTAAGACCGCTGTTTAGACCTTGGAGAGTATTGACTCAGGAGCTCGCACKGGTTACCGTGACACACGAACACAAGACAGGTGGCTTGCGCTGACGGGATGACCGGCTGAAYAGGATAAGGAGTCGGGATCGCGGAGGTAAGACCGCTGTTTAGACCTTGGAGAGTATTGACTCAGGAGCTCGCACCGGTTACCGTGACACACGAACACAAGACAGGTGGCTTGTGCTGACGGGATGACCGGCTGAATAGGAGGGGGTGGAAGTAGCCTGTGGTGACGGGGATGCGATAAGCGGAACACGGACTAGAAAGCGAACGTGGACAAACACGGTTGGGATGAGACATTCGGCAGTGACGACAGGAAAAAGGAGCGATACGACTCTGCAACAGCTTGGTTTGCACCTTCGATGACCCCTTGCATATCCCAGGGCGCGGCCATCTCCCCCCGCTCGTATCCCGCTGTCCAGCCCCCCCCCCCCGCACCACCTCCCTGCTTGGACACCTTCCCCAATGCTAAGGATGCTACTCCCATCAATCTGCGAGGAGGGTCGATCCTTGCTGCCCCGCCATCCCTGACCTGGGAAGATTGTTGTCTGTATTCGCTGGAATCTTCTCGCCTCCCCAACCTCCTCATAATTGTGCTCAGAAACAAACACTCACCGACCCGTTTGCCCAACTTTGCCTGACTAATACCAAAACAACACAGGGCACCTCAACGAAGGGGGTTGGAGGCGAAGAGCAGGGGTGCTGCTGCTGACCCTCGCCACCCAGCATCCCGTCCCGAACACAACGGGACACAGCCAGGATCCTCGGTACAGATGAGGCATGACCCCGAGTCTCACAAACAACGGGTGGGGGAAAACGGTCCCCCCGGGCAAGAGGACAGCCGCGCTGCACAACAACACCCGAAAGAGACATGGAAGGACAAATTGGTAGCCCCAACTGCCGGGGGAAGTGGCCCCTCCCCATCATCATCTATGAACCCGCCACCATCATCGCAGGAAGGGCGCAAGCCGCCGCCCCAACTTCTCAGAGCACTGTCGGCGCCCGACCGAGCACTTTCGGGTGGGTCTTCCACCCTGGCCCCCATGGCTCCGCTCAAAAGCCATCTCATACAGCAATTGTATGTAAAACCGGAAAGAAAGTTCTAGGTAAAACAGGGTTATATCTACCCGCACTCGGTCTTCTCACCCCAGGCCCGGGCGTTGAGAAACGGGATCTACACACAAAGGGCCGTTCAATTTCGCTTTCAGCCAGTGCACTGGGCGCTTTCGGTTAATGAGAAAATCAAATGGATCACAACGAAGCTGCAGAGGATAAAGCCGGATCGGCAATTGGTCCATAACCACTTCCTGATTGAGGTGGACAGTCCAGACTGCGTCACAGTCGTGGCCCTCTATCCAGCAAACAAACACCTGCTCTTGAAGAACAACCAACTGCAATGCAGAGGCAAACACGTGCAGCTCTCTGCGTGGTCCCCCGCAGACCCACAATCCTCTGACGAGAGAAGAGAGCTCCTCATGAAAACGAACTTCTGGGTGCAGTTCCGCTTCGCTTCGCGCCCCTGTGTGTGCAAGGGGCAATCCTGACACATCTGGAAGACATAGCAAGGATCAAGGGATATATCACCGACTTGCCCCAGTTTGTGGGAAAAAGGGATGATTCACTTCTGGTGGCGGTAGAATGGGATTTGGAATGTCCCTTCCCCCTGAACGAGGAATGAAGGTACTCAATCGGAGGTAAGGAATTCTCAGTTCCGGTCAGCCACTCTCAAGACCCCTGGTGCTATGCTTGCAAGCAAAGAGGTCATCTGTGTACTGACGATGACTGCCCGAAAAACGACCGCAAAACGAAAATAAAAGGACTGGTCACCCCCCATCCCACCGACGAGGAGAGATGGTACCCGGACGAGCAAGAACTCCAAGGGTGGGTGTTCAGGGCTTACGTTGATGCCACTCCGGGTCAATGGATATGGCAGGGAAAGGGCAAGCCGTCAGTGTCTCCGGCAGGCGCAGGACTGATCATAAATGCTGACCACAGACAAAAAGGGAAGCAGGAACATCTCCTGGGTTCCGAGAAAGGCCATGACCACCGTCTGTGGGGCCTCGCATCTAAAGGAGGGGTGGCCAACCCGGAAAGCAAAGACGGCGATAAAAAATAAAACAAGCAGACAGGCTCTAACGACCGCCCAATAATGCAAAGCAAATCAGCAATGATTCCCCCCCAGCAGATTTATATGCCCAAACAAACAACGAAGTCTGAGAGGGAATCACAACAGCATGAGGAGGACAGCAACAGTAAAAGTGAAAACTTGCAGCAAGGAGGAAACACCGCGCCGGTCTCAGACCGACAGCAACGGAGCGATGCTATTTCGAAATAGTCTGAGGACAAGTTGGAGTCAACAAGGGAGGCTCAGGAGAACACCCCGACTAACCAGTTGCCCCAGCTTCGCCCATCGCACCAACAACCACTCGCCCGACCGCCTCATGCCCTCCCTGTGCCTCCGCAGCCTCCACTGAACGAAAGGAACCCTCCGCAGGCAAACGCGGACAGGGGGGTTGGGCAACCCCCCCCTCCAATGCAGATTGAAGTCGGGAGTCTGCACAAATCCGGGGAGGGACAAGGGGGAGACCAACAAAAACAGCACACCACCAAAAAGCCTTGTGCCTTGGAAATCGGGGAGAAGACCCGACCGAAGAATCCGACCCCGACTCAGCCTACACATTCGCAACCATGGGATGCATTGCCCTCTGGACAAGGTGCACACAACGACCCTACTACACTCGCCCGGGGCAGCGGGACAGACCTGCCTATACAAGATATTAGGCTGGAGCCCCGACCGACAATGGCATCCAAGGAAATGGCAACTAAGGAAGAGACTGGTAAAGGATTCAAACCCAGGGGGATGTGGCTTAAAGCCAATTCTCTGCTAAACAAGCTTAAAGATGCTGCCTTCCCCCATAACTCAGAGCCGCCACTCCCTAACTGTCGAAGGGAGCAGTTGGATGGCCCCCCCAATGGAGGGACGGGGGGTCCACACCCGACCTGCTTATCGACTGAGCAGCGAAAGGGAAAGCACAGTCGGCTCCTGGTTTCGGATCGCCCTCAGGGGACAATGGTGATCTCACAAGTTACAGGAGAAGCAAAATTCCTGCCTCCCATACCGGCTCCGGAACTGTCGCACGAGCTCACACGGACTCGAAAATTGGAGCTTGAACATGACGAAATGCTGGGAGCCGCCCTGCAGAAACCTCCACAACAGTCGCCGGAGCACCAGCAAGAACACCGGCCGCACGCCCAACCCCAGCACGGCCAGCTAGAACACAGGCAGCGGCCTCTCCTATTACAACACCTACCACATGGAGACCACGGCCTGCAGGACCACAGCCCCACGTTGCAACAGTCCCAACTAACGCTAGAGGTCAGACAGATGGACCGAATCTCACAACACCAACAGTTGGCGCAGCTCTCGCCGGAGCACCATCGGCAAAGGCAACAACAACTAATGATGCAACACGACCACCAACTTGGGGCCGCGCAACAACAGCAGGAGCGGTTGTTGATCCCACAACAACACCACCACGGCCTACAGCACGACATTATGCCATCACAACAGCCTGAACAACAACTGGAGCGGATACAGATGCAGATGCCACAGCAGTTGGCGCAACCGCCACAGGCCCAGCAAGTGTTGTCACTGCAACCCCAACAGTTGGCACAAATGGAACAAATGCTACTACAACAACAGCTGGCACATCAACAAAGTGAGCACCACCTGTTGCCAGAGCTCCAAATGCAACAACAATAACTACAAGTTCTGCCACAACACTTAACGCAACAACAAACCGAGCTTCACCCGCTCTCGCAGCAGCAAATGCAGCAACAACAATTACACGTGGTGTCACAACAATATTGTGCTCCGCCCCAAGAGATGCAGCATCATCCGCAACAACAGCAGATGCAACACCAGGCATGGAACCAGCACCAGCAACAACAACAACAAGATGCAGCGATGCAGCGGCAACAAAATCGACAAAACCAGCTGGTGTGATCTCAGCAAAGCATGCACATGCAGGAGCACGAGCAAGCACAGCAGAGGGGGCAATGCGAGGACCAACTCCATTTCCTCCTGCAAGCACAACTGGCGCAGTACCACCACCACCAACATCAACAAAGGGTGTTGTACCAACGGCAGATCTTACAGAACCTCCATCTGCAGTGGCAACAACAACTCTGCTGCCAACAAGAATGCATCTTAAAGTTGCAGCAGCAGCAACAGCAACTACAACAATCCTGGCATCAGGAGATGGAAGCGCAACAACGCTGCACAATGAACTGCCCCCAGTCACCTGGGCCTGGTCCCTCGACCCACAGATTGGATGCACAACCAACACAGGACATGGATACCTCGGTCCCAGACGAGCCAGCACATGCAACACAGCAACAGGGCAAGGATTCGGGGCCGGGGGGCAGGATATTGAAATGACCCAGGCAATGCCAGCACATGCAACACAGCAACAGGACAAGGACTCGGGGCCGGGGGCGCAGGATATTGAAATGACCCAGGTAGTGCCTCTTGCACCGCATGACAGTCCACCCCCCCCTCTCCCTCCACTGACAGACAATGATGA